ACAAACATGACCTTCTTGGGTGTACCGGTTGCCTTGCTTTACTCCCCCAAACATCAGAACAATACCAAAGGGCAAAGGAGCTCCCAGAAATTAGAAACAGGTACGAAATGGACAAACACTTTGTAATCCTACTCAAGAAGTAAATAATAGACCTGAGCAAGAAGAACGGTTGACATTTTCACCACCACAAACAGCATTTGTTCTTTACAAAACCGGAAAGGGCAAAAGATTAATCGGAAATCAATACAAACAAATGTTATATGGTCAAATACTAAGTAACCCTGTTTAAGCAAAAGTGCTTGATTTTTCCTAATTTAAAACCATTTTCACAGAATTCCTCCCTTTCCTTTCTTGTACTTTCTCCAAAGGGCAAAGGAGTCACTAAGAAAGAATAGGACCTATGGTAGATGGGCAAATACTCCGTAACCTATCAGAGGAAACCAATTATCTATTGTTCCAGGAAAGATAGACATTTTTTCGGGTAGGACCAAAACATCTTTGCATTTTCGGAAAGGGCAAAGATAAAATAAATTGTAAAAACTACGTTGTAGATAGAAAAACACTTGTTAACCTTGATGACGGCACTTACTCGCTAAGTACATTACTTCAGGTTTTGGCATTTGGTTGATTTCTCCATATTTTTGTTCTGGGATAAGCTGACCAAGGAGTATGTAAATTCAATTTAGAATTTATCTCCAAACAATTTTTACAACAAACGCAAAAAGGAGGAAATATTATATTATGTTTAAGTTAAACTCCCAACAAAAGTTACATAGGGATCATGGTATCATACACCTGAGCTTTTTCATAAGTTCGTGTTTAAATGATTGCTGAAAACAACTTCTACTCCCGTATTTTGGTATGCTCAAATTTATAATTCAATAACACATGTTTACTTCAATTTCTTTACTCAGAATCGGTTGACATTATTTGAAAATCGAATTCAAATTCATTTTCAAAAAATATTTTTTTCTTCGTCTAAACAATGACGTAGATCGATGACTTTGATGCAACAGCAAAACATTGATATGCTGTTATTAAAAATAAAAAACAGTCTTATTTGCATGAAAACTAATTTTGCGTTGTTAAAAGTGAAGATATTTGTAAAATTAACACTAAGATGAAAATACCAAAACTCGAAGTGCAAGTTTACATTTGATATACTGAGTAAGTCATTCGTATGTCGTCTATGGATTGTTATTCAAAGAAAACAAACATATAAGCAGGCAAGAAAACATCGGTTTTAATGTTTATGTACCCTTTGTAAGAATAGAATGACCCCACGTGCTCATTTGTCAGCCGGAAACGGTCACACTGGATAACCGGAAACAATACATCCACTGGATGTTAGTAATATGGTGTAATGAACCAAGTTGTATACCTTCTGAAAGGATAACAAGTCCGGATACAATTATAGGATAAGTATAGATGTTTACTAGTTTTTGAGGGAAATATTGAACCATTGCAATTTTGTTTATTTATTTGCATATGTTTATTTTCTTAATTAATTAGGAAGTTCACAATATTTTGGAAAATGATAAATACAGATTAAAAACAGATTTAAAAAATAAATGATGCTCTTTGTTTTCCTTTTTTTGAATAAATACGAAATTTTATACTAATAATTGTAACGAGCATTTCCGATCCAACAACACATTACTTAACATTAAATATATATTACATTAAAGTGGGTTGGATAATGTTTTAAGAATACGAAAAAAGAAAGAAAATCCATAGAAGTATATCTTGGTGACACATCGATGTTTTAGAATTTGAATCTTAGATGAAAACTGATGCCGATTATTATTTATTGGTGCGAACAGTAAAGCAGAAGCCAAGAGGATTACATTTCTACAAATGCATGTATCTGAACAACCCCCACATTTAAACAATGGTTGAGTGCTATTTAATTTAATTGATATGTTAGAGACCTAATTAAATCAATAGTTCTTCTTGCGAAAAACATCTGACAATTATTTGTTCATGATAAGCACCAATTTGACTGCGTGGTTAATTGTTATTCATAGTATTTAATTTAATCATCGATCTTTCTTGTGAACCCGAGTTAATATCTTTTAGCTATTAGGAGGCATGCTTCACTGGTGTTGACAGAATTGACAATGAAATGGCTTTGTAATTGATACTAATAACTTGGGAAGAAGCGTTAACGGCCACAAATTAAGAAAAATATATTTAACATTGCATAGTGTTCTCAATAGCGCAAAACTGTGATTAAAAATATAATGCTTACGTGAATGATAAACTGATTAAGGTAAAGCGTGTTTGTAGTGCGCTGGCAGTGTTAGACAGTAGCAGTAAATAACGGAATGTTTGATACAACTTGTAAAGACAAATCGTGATGATTATATAGAAATGTTTACAACACAAATAGTTTACCATTTTAGAAACATTTATATAGACAAAATAACAAAATGGCATGGTTACATAAAGTTGTATATAAATCAATTGTTACCTTAATTTCCCAGATCCATGTGCGAGATGATGTTTCATTAAAAATAGTTATTTATGATTCTTTTCTTTTTGCTCTTAATTAATTAAAAGGCTTTTTTAAATGAATAGTTTGCTCCTAATCAATTTGTAATGCGACTTGTAAAATGGCCTAAAATAAAAAATAAAAAATAATCTGAAACTTACTATTCCATTTCTAAAATATAATAAAACCTGACACAATTAAAACAAAAAAATATGAAAATAATTCAACATACAAACATAAAGTTATTGGCCAGGGTTTAATACTAATAAGCGTTAAGCTTCACACTTTAGAGCGCAAATACGCAGGTAAAAAATGAACCCAGATTGTCAAAACAAAATTTTAATTTCCCACAGAAGATAAAAAAAATGTAAAAAAAAAGCTCAGTATAATCTATCTCACGTGTTATTACCTTCCAATTTTACGGGCATTTAGTGTTTTCCATAACAATACGATTTTGTACACAAATTGTATAGTTTCCTCCGCTTGCGTGTTCCAAATGCTTAGCAGATTTCTCACCATATCGAAAACCTCACTTTTAAATGACTCAGAATTATAAGTACTACTCTATTGTCTATTTGGGAGTAAAACGTGTGATTATCTTAGCTATATTTCCTTATTTGTGGGTACGTTTAGAGTATATTTGTCCGGAGTGACAATGCTAATTTTGGAAGTTAGAGTTATACGTTAGGGGAGAGCTCGGTAATTGTGACTTACCGGCGTGAACACTATACGAAGATGAGGGGATAATTAGCGAGAGGTAATACGTGGGGAGGAGATCCACGGGAAACCATTATCTTTCTTTTAGATGTTAGCCAATAGGAGGTTGTGACGTTCATTAGGTTTGAGAAGATATATGGCTTGAACGATTGTAGATAAGTTTAGACTTGGAAACCCTAGCCGTTCTCTGACTGGAACCGTCATTACTTCTCGCCTACCGCATACTGCAGTAGAACCACCGCGCGCTCCATGACCAGGCATTTCCAATACAAATCAAATTTGAAGAAAATATTGAAATTGTTACTGAATAAGAGCTCAAGCACATATTTGTTTCCATTTTAAATCTTATTTATCGTAAAGTATCCTTTTAAAGGTTAAGGGTTCGCTGTTGTGAAATAATTAAGTCATATCAATAGAAACATTCCATAAAATTCACATGTTGCTATGCAATTTATGGAACAATAGTTGTATGGAATGATTCGAGTGTTTGAAAATAGAAAGAAAAGAAAAGGAAATAAGAAAAGCTCAGGGGTCGAGCTCAGGACTTTAATGTTGCACAACCTAAACTTTACCAATGTTGGTGTACCGGAGGTATATCACATAAGCTCAGCATCAAAAGGAGTGTCCGACTCTGAGCGGAAGTGGAACTCTTCTTCGCGATTATAACTGATGAAGTGGTACAATTGACATTTACTAACTATTTGATGAACCAAGAACGCGTACAACAATGTTTCTTCGGTTAAACATGCTTCACGTCGTTAACATCTGTTACGGTATCGTAGAGGTCATGGTGCCTTTCCTTTTGTTTTGGGGTGTGCTGGGGTAAATATCATTTAAATTAAGATGTATGTAACAAACAAAACTATTTACTTTAAATTTTATTGGGTTTAAAAAGATAATATTTGTGATGTTCAACCAATAAGAAACATATAACTTACATAAAAATCTCCCATAGCGGTTCGACTTACATTGCTGTGAAAGCAATTTATCGGAAATCGTTGCACTCCGTCGACACATTAGGGTCTTGTTTCAGACAAGAAATAACTCATTTTTAAGAAGCCTAGGGAATGCAGCTTCTATCTTTAGAACCGATTCGTATTTCAAATGAAATAAACCGCATGGCTGTTGATTTTGAACGAAGCTTAAACACCGTTTAACTGGAATTATTATGATTTATCTCGAATTATGACGATTATTTTAGTAATACAGAGCCATAACGTGTTTTCATTTTAGTCAATCATTCTGTTTTTAGCAGTAATCGACAAACCACATCATCGTTTTCTGTTTAAAAGTGATGGAAGACTTTCACACACACAATAATTATGGCAATCAATCCAGTCATACCTTGCTTTAAACAAATATAATATGACGTCAATGAACGTTGCCCATTGTTGTAATGCCACTTACATTATTGGAGGTGGTATTAAGGTTTAGAAATGAACTAAAATGTATTTTGTCATTACGGGATTACTTATAGATCTATAAATCAAGTATACATTAATTTATTACCCCTAAATTGAACAAAAGAATTGATGAATTGGTCAGGTTTTGTAGCTACTGTTACTTAAAAACCCATACAATTGCAATCTGTGCATTCCTTTTCTCTTCATTGTCTGCCATTTGTTGTAGCAAATAACGTAAATGTCTAATTGCATGAACAGAAACAAAGAGATAGTGGATTCATTTTGCCTTTTATACACCATTTTTTTAACACTTGTGTGCCATCTAGCGATGAATGCAAAACTCATACAAAAATTCTTTCAAAATATTCATTTATGTGTTTCTTTAGGTCACCAAGATCCTAGCTTTTACTTCCATCCTTACCGGAAACCGAAACGCATCCGGACAGCATTTTCACCATCACAACTCCTAAAATTAGAACACGCGTTTGAGAAGAATCATTATGTGGTCGGACAGGAAAGGAAAGATTTGGCGGCCAAACTTGGTCTGACGGAAACTCAGGTGAGAGACTGTGAATAGAAAGTCAAATGTTGTTACACATTTATTCATTGCACTAATCAATTTATTTTAAACATGATACAATTCATTAACATAAAAATAAATGGACATATTTGTATACTAAGAAAACATTTTTTTTTATACATATAAAAAATTATGCAATCTGTAGATACCAACATTCTTGGCTAGTTTCTTAAATTATTTGAAGTAATTATTTTCATAGCAGTATCTGTTCTTATTGATAAAAAACACCTATAGAACAGCACTAACATGCAAAACCAATCCAGATTTTAAGTTATTTGAACTATATTTTTTTTGTTACAGTTAGATTAAGATTTTTAAAATGGGAACGTTCGAGAAGTAGGATTGCTTTTTCAACCATTCATTAACGAACTATTGTTTTGCATTTCTAATTCATTATCTGTGTGCTCTGATTCAGAAAGATATGCAAGCACTTATGTGAACCGGTGGTTAAATTTAAAAGTACTTAGTGTGTACTTTAGTAATTTGTTTATATTTATCAATTTATGTAAACAACATACCACCTTTGTTCTCATATCCTATTTTAAGCCTACATACACATTACTCTGATATAATCGCATATTAAAATTATCAATGAATTCGTCTGAGCATATGTCATACCATGATAAGGTGTTTAACAGGATAGGACTAACACATTAATAATGTAACCAAATTTTATAAAATTCCAAAAGAAGGTAGGGAACCTATGGGAAAGAAACTTGATATGCCATTATAGAATATTGAACATTTAGCTCGTATTCCGGGCTCTTTTTTACACCATTTGTTTACATTCCTGATAAAACCAATATTTGCACATAAAAGAAGAAAAAAAAGAGGAAAGTACATCTAATGCACTCTTAAAACCAGTTTAATTATTTTTTCACACTACAAAACACCTGATGGTCTGGTTTATCTGGCGTTTGAACTGTTGATGCGTTGGACCCAGAATAAATTGTCTCCCAATACAGAACAAATTGCTATTCCCTCAGCAGGTTGACGATTAAGGGTTCCCGATAAAGCATTATGCACACACACCTCTCATAGGAGGTCCTTTATAAAGCTACATTATCTTCATTGTTTTCTACAATTAAAAGTAAATTTAACGGTAGCCATCGCTGTTTATTATTTACAGTGTAGCAAATCCCTAACCGTGATACCGAAAACCGATATTCTTCTATCTGAAAGCACATTATATTTCGCCATTTATTTGATTCATCCTATATTTCCTGTTTTCGCGGTTCAATGATCCGTTGTAAGGGAGGCTGGCTCGATGACATAAAGGATTTTTTGGTGTTTGTCTTGTATAAAAATCAGTGTATAAATATTAAAATCTACAAAAGTGTTCATTTGTAGTTCAGAGATCAATGTCTTATCCAAGAAGGTAAATTTGAAAATCCTATTGATTTTCGTTTTTTATTTTTATCTGTGGTAAAATAGGTTTTTTAGAATACATTAACAGCAATGTTGACTATTAAACTAAAATCAAAACATGTTAACATGTTATGTCCTTTTCTCTTTTTCGATACTTCCTAAGATTTCCGACAATTTTTCCTGGTAAAATCACAAGGAAAAAGACGTATTTATATAAGCACACTCTTGTCAGCATTTGGCGTGCCCTTCGGATGTCAGCCGCGATCCGAACATCCCTCTGTGTTCCGAACCTCATCTCTGAACAGCATCCATCCATGGTTCCTTTATGCTCTTAATACGGATATTTTTCGCCTGAAATTACTTTATCATGTTTTAAAAGGCTGCTAATAGAGTAGGCAACAGGGTTGACTGGACGAACAAGAGATCGAAATTGCTCCCCGCTGACTTTACTATTTCACTGCTAATGAACGGATGAAACGATGCGTCAAGTCTATATTCTATATGTGTTGCTTGCCATATTGACTTTTTCATAGTTAAGTAGAACTGAAAATGAAATACTGGAAACATATCTCATTATCAAATTTTAGAACAAAACAAATTGCAATAATACAATTTTAAGCATAAATTGAGATTGTAAATCAATACCAACCGAATCCTAGAAATATTTGTTTGTACGATATTAATTATATAACAGTAATGCTCAGCAGTTAGCTAATTATACTTTAATTTATATATAATCAATAATCACCGCGCAGCCAGTTTTGATACTAATATGCATTACATCATTGATTAATAAAACTCCTACCAGGTATTGAATATACAAATCAAACATTGATATAAATATGTAAATAAAGTAAATAAATAAAGTCATTATCAATGTGATAATATTTTGCTCCTCAGTCATTTGTATTTTGGCCTTTTCCAATATCTAAATTTCACAATTGGAATAAAAAACCACAACATAAAAACAACATTTTAGATGAAAAAGGTCAATTCAAGCTTTCCATTTTGTGCAGAAAAACGAAAAAGACTCATTATGCTTTTGAAAGAAAGTAAACAAGGTCAAATTATAAAATGATAACTTCAAACCTGCTTTTGTTCTCCTTTATTAAGAGACCTTTATTGACATGGACCTATCAATAATGAAGAACAAGAAGACTTTACCAATTAAATTAATTAAAATGTTAAAAAACACAATATTATTAAACAAACGATCATTGCTTCAAAACCTTATCCACAAAAATATAAATTGCTTGGTATTTGTCAATCTCAGAAAATGTGATCTGCATCTAAAATATGTTAAATTGGAGATAAGACACCACAAGAAAATGGAAAAGTTGAATAAAATATTTAATAAATGTCTTAGTTCATCCACTTTACTTTTAAATTTAACGGTGACAGAACCATTGCTGTGGTCAGTATAAGAAAGTGTCCCCAAGAGAACCCCTTCGTAACTAAGACAAACAATGGCTCGAGATGAAAGCAAAACTGTTCTGCTTAGCACCAAATTGCCTGATGAATGTTGTTCTTTAGAAAACTAATTTGTCTCACCGTGAGAAACCAAATAAAGGTAATTGAACTTATTTGAATTTATACTCATTGCACCTGGAGTCTTGGAAGCACTTCGTCCTTGTGTTATGTAACACGGTACCGGAGAACGAAACAAATAGCCGGGTAATTAAATTAGACCCTTGCTTACCAAGTGGTGTTTGATACATAGATAAGCGTGTTAAAATAGACCATAATAGATTTTTTCTGAGAGCTCTTGACAAATAAGTGGTAGGCTCTCAATGTCTAACTACACTACGGATCAATGACATCCGAAACAAACGTTCAAATGACTCTACAGAAATCGGGATAATCTTGATCAGAGGTCGCTGACGAACTGCCATACAGCCTAATTAGACGCACTCGAGAATTCATTAGGTTTACGAAATGTGCAATGTGTTGGAAAGATGCAGTGTGTTTTTCCTTCCTACTGTAAAACCTAAGCGTTGAATATAACAATACTATTTTCATAAAATGAACAGCAAAATGCCATTTGAGTCTTTTACGAATTTGACTTTTGACACGAAAACAATATACCTCCGCGATTGTGTTACACCGGTTCCTGTCATCTCAATATTACTACGCTGGGTGGATACCATGATAATTAATGCTAATACATTAATAACACTTCACCAGTGTCATGACAAATTAGCTTTGACATGATATTATCTTCATAAGTCTGATAAATCATTAACCTAATATAAAGTAATGACCAATAATCATGTTAAAATAGTACATATAAATGTCATTTCAATTATCAATATACACGTCGACTGACTGACAAAACAATAAGGTGTGTCCTCCAAGCAGGTAATTTGTCACACGCAGGTGAGACAGAACCTGCTAACTATTCTTACTTGTGAGCATGGCCATTATACAATGAAGGCCTGTCATTCAAATTGTTCAGAGGTCAGGTCCCAAGCAGATTACACAATTTTTACGGGAGTTGATGCCTGTTGTGATAAACAAGCTCCAGGTTTTGTTCGAACGTCCTTTTACTGTCACGAATATTCATTCATTGCAGACACACTTTGCATATGCAAATAACGCTAAGGGCCATGTCACTGTGACGTTAGGCATCTGGATTGAACCTAGGTCATTTTGTAGTAATATATTCGTTTCTTAGTTAGTCTTATGCCATATGACAGAATGGATCTTAAGGTCTTGATGCACGTACGTTACGGTATCACATTGTTTGGGTATATGATGTAGGTACGTTATAACTGTAATATTTGATTAATAATTTATTTCACCAAGTTTTTTTTTTGGTTATTGTTTTTGAAACAAATAGGTAATTAATAATAATATTAACAAAGTTATTAAAAAATAAAAACCTTTCGCACCTTTGTGGAACATGAAAATATAAAAATACATCTCCAGTAGATAATGTATAATGTTTTACTCATGCATACCCTAAACATATTTATTTTCTACATGTTAAAACAGTAATTATATCGCAGGTTTAAGCATTAATTAACTTAATATGTTTACGTCTGAGTTTTAAGCCAAACAGATGCGCGTGAAAAATGACTTTTTTTGACGTATGTTTATGCACTACATGGTAATGACGCTGAGGTAATCACCAATATGCACTTCTTATTTGACATTCATGGCTATTAAATACTATGAACTCATTATTTAAAAGGTAATATTAGGTTTATCTGTTTTGCGCAGAACCTTGGTATTCTACTTGATGTACAGCGATAAATGTCAATATATTGATTAACAATGAATTCGTTGAAAGAGGGACTCATTTGATATTGCGAAAAAAGCAGTTATTCGCTTATTTGCTCTCACGTTTACATGCACACACATATATATTGTATACAGAGATATTTTTGCCTTGTTCACCCTCCGTAATGAGGATTAATGTATCATTACAGCGAATATAAGTAAACAGCATGATATATATATAGTAATTAAATATGCATTGAGAAATAAACATGGGCTAACATTTATTTCATTGGGCGAAAGTTTGACTGGGCGAAAACAATTCCTTGTACACAGTAAATATTTAATGAATACCTCAACACATTGTATCCAATGGATTGATGTATAGTACGCATGCATCTTATTCGAGATGAAAATAAATAAAATAAATAAAAAAGATGAATCATGACAATAAAACAAACATAATTAATGTAAATTACTATCATAACTATGAATGATAAAACATGGGTTCAACCATTAAAAAGTAATGAATAGCAACGTTTGCACTTACCAACCGCTATTTGTTTCATTTAAAGCGTTAGTTAATCTATGTGTATTCATGAAGGCGTTATACATATATCATTAATTTGTTTAATCTACTTATAAACCAGAGCAGGACAGATTCATTTGACAGCAGAAAGGACATCACTATTATGAGAGATAAATTGTTATAATTTGTCGTACGGTATGTTAATTTAGTAATTTATAATTATGTTAATTGCATCCATTAATTATTCCCAAAGTAGCACATTTGCATTTTTTCTTAATACATATGTTTGTTTTCGAAATATTGAAGTAGTTTATAAAAGCTTAAAAAAGATATTTGTCAACAAATTAAAATAAAAAGTTTAATTGCAACCACATCAAAACTTTGAAAATGGAAATGTTATCGTTTTAAAACTCGAAAACATTGATTATAAAAGGTTTATATGTTTATTTTTTGATTAACAGTGATGTTCTTAATATTGCTTTAAAATGACAGACACCATATTCGCTGCCCAACCTTTCAATCATGTTCTAGATAACCTCACTGCAGGATTATCAATATTAATTTAAACATTACGACCATATTTTGATATTTTCTACTACTGTTTGATCTGATCTTTTAGTGTATTGCTAAGGTCATGTTTTATTCGAAACCTTACATGGAATTATCGCATTTGAATATAATATTTGCAATTATTTATTTGTAAGCATTACTAATTTAAAGTTTGGCCTTCATCACATTGACATTTTTATTTAAATAGACAAGAACAATTTTTGATGACGATAGATAATTGCAAAGAAATTATTTCGTGGAATCGGGGATATGCTTAATGTCATCAAATATCTTTACGGTAAATAAAGCTATCCAATATTTGTTATAACAAACCTATAATAAGTTCAATCCTATACAATTTAGAAATCAGTAATGCTATTTAAACGCAATACTTAACACCGCACAAATTCTGGCGGATTCATTCATTCTGTATATATATTTATATACATATAAGAATATATTTGTTCAACTTCCCAGTAGGATGTTAAGTACAAATCATTAACTTAATTCAATGTCTATTTCTTCATTTTCGTTCGAAAATATTTATTTCGCCAATGTGATTTTCTTATTTTCGTACTAGGACTAAATATAATCCTGTCAAGTAATTCGTATTCATGAGCATAAACAAGGTCGGATTCACACCACTCTATGTAAGACATAGCATATATAATACATTATATGACATTAGAATTAAATACTTCTTAAATCGCACACTTTCCCGTTGAGCGGTGTCTCATTACTCGCGTGATAAACGATGAATAAGTTGAAGCCTGCTGGCTGAAATGCTGTTCCTACGATAAAGCAAATGTCGGCCCTTTCACCATTTATAACATTAATAGGCTAATTTCAGAAGAAGTTATTACCCTACCTAAGAACGTAATCTTTAAAACTGCTGGATTCCAACAGACTTAAAGAGTGTCATTCTCGCCCGGAGCACGGACACCACAGAGATTCTATTCCAACGTCCATATAACCTTAAAATCATATTTCAATAACTTTAATAATGTGCCACAAATTTTATTACAATCGAGGCCTAATCCATTTAATTTGGCATTATTCTGACGGCAGGGGTTGTTTGTCCGGCCGCGTGATAGGATTTTGGTACTAAAACACGTGTCGGTACGAACTAGATGGATCGACAGTCACTGAGCTATCGTATTACCTCGTACATCACAGAAACAACGACCCACGTCCCACCTTTCACACGACACGACCATTTTAAAGATAATTTCAATTTCATCAAGTGCAAATTTGCAAAAATTAGGATTCCAAATTGAATATAACAATGAGAGTTAAATGCACAAACAAGCCATTCTATTGTGCCAGTTTACATCCTGGCGAAAGATGATACCAGTTGTTCAAGGAATTTATATTACTCACAAATTGTCGATGTTCTTTCTTTGGCAAATTAGAAAAGTTCCCTTGGGTTCACATCATAGAAAAGTTACTCTTGAGAGTATCACGTCCATAAAATAAAAGTCTATGGAGGCTATCATGTCTTTCCACGAGACAGTCCAGTCACTATAATACTGCTATAAAATACTATTGAGTCCCAATCGTTACTATCCCAGTGTTCTCGTCATTTATATTAAAAAATAGATCAACAATCACTGTGTTATAAGTGTCAAAGATCCTTACCATTTTCTGATTCAGATTGATCCAAAATACATCCAGAAATGGTCATTTTATAATGATAGAATAAGGAGACAATCTACAAAACGGCAACGAAAAGTTCATACGAAGAGGACATAAATTCATTATTTTAAAGCGCCCACGCAGCAATGAGTGATCAGTTTGTGTATATAAAATATCAACAAAGGGATGTAATTATCACATAAAAAGAAATAAAGTAGTGATTTTCAAGTTATTTTTTAGCTCTAGCATCTTCTTCGGACTAGATACTTGCCTCTGGTACATCAACCAAGTTCTGTTAGAATCAACATAAAATACAACGTGAGTTACAAATTTATAGGTGGCCGTGTACATAGAAGTTCATGATAATCTAAACTACCTGTTATGAAACTAAAATAATGTTGAAACATAGCACATGATAAATTTTGTATAACTGGTACAAACTCTACTCCTAATACTCATACCAAACGATTACTTAAAAATGTGTTCATTGAACTGTAGGAATTTTAATCCGCTTTTTTCTGATTTAAAAAAAAATTGTATACCCATTGATCGTTTGATATCAGTTCAGATCTACTCAAATTATCGGCAAGAGGTTAAGACGTTGCATAAGAATATTTAATCTCTGAGCGGTTTCTTTTATCAAGGCTTTCTTGTGAACACACTGGTTCTCGCCATGCAAGCACAACGATATACACCTTTGGGTCTTTAGTGGTAATTCAACAAATTGTCAATTCATATAAATTCCTAATGGGTAAACTCTCGTCTCATGCTTTTTATGCTAAATGAATGCCAAAAAGTGCTTTTATTACGTTTGAAAAACCTCTCAGGGTTTCAGAGACCTTTCAAAACGACCGTAATTAGTCGACAACGAGTGTCAGAGCAACTCTTACCGACACTGCCGCCTCAAACACAGCAATCTTATACTCACAAAGACTGCCAAGATATATGGTCGCCTTTCTGTCTTTGATGGCCCTACAACAACTGGAAAGTTGTCTACTGATTATAAGACCGAAGACGACATGTTCTAGTGATGAATTATGTGAAAGCGTCTTTATATTGACTATCAAAATATCGAATTTCTGTTATCAAAAGAATTTATTTGATTGCTTTTTAATTAACCGATGTTAGCAAACTTTTCATCTTTCATCTAATTCTATAAACGTCTTATAAGTCAGAAAGATTCTTTCTTAAAATCTACTTCGACGACCGCGTGCCATGTATTTTCAAATAATTCATTATAATTAATTGAGTTGAGAGCTAAGTTGTTCTTTCCAACTTTAACACAACAATTTTTCTTTGAAAGATTGTTTTTAAAAGAAAATATCATTAAATTAAAAACCGACCTGATGGTGAAACTCGGAACTCCACTGCACGCTTTATCAATACTAATAAATGTCAACGGTTTTGGTTAAAATGTCATAATGTTTGATATGATAAATATGCTTGATTCTGATTTTACACAATGGTACGAAACTAAATTAGCTCAATTTATGACAGACGGTGAAACGCTCGACTGGCACCAATTAAACTAATGATTTATGCATAACACATCACAAAACACATCGCATTAACATGAACTTCAATGAATTCTTTTCAAACTAAATGATATAATGATCGGAAGAAAAATGTCCCCAATCTCGTGGTTTTTTTTTAGTGTTTTTTTTTTACCAACAATGCAGGCAGTCGTTCAATCAAAATAATAATTGATCCACACACATCTTTAAGAAATATCTAGGAAAACTATATAAGAAATAAAATGTTTGATTTTGTGACATATTTTACAAACGAAAGTTTTGCAGCGACATTTAAGAACTTTTGAGAATACAATGCAGAAACATCTTAAATATGAAAATGTTTTTCAGAGTTCTATTAAATAATTCAAATTAATTGGTGTTTTTTTTATATAACACATGTTTGCCTCATATTACAGACGCTTTGTTTTAACAATATTGCACATGTTGAATGCATAAAGCAATTGTATTAAACATGTATATGTCTTATTCCGCAGGTGAAAGTTTGGTTCCAAAACAGACGAACAAAGTTCAAAAGAGTGAAGAGCGATGACGATGAGCCACAAGACGATGCTGAAGGGCAGCAACAAGACGATATTAATGTTACTGACTACCACGAGGGGGCGTCTGAATCGGAGAGCGAGGAAAATGAGTAGATTTGCGTGAGAACATCATAAGACTGATTAAGACTGATATACCGAAACTTACATGTGCGGCATACAAGTGCCTTCCATTTGTATTTCCTTATCACGTGTTTACAACAATTGACGGAGTGAAAATGGAGTCGATTGAACTGCTGCATTACATAACGATGGCATTTAATTTTATGTTATTATTTTGCCAGAATGTATACACTATTTGAATCTGGCATGGCTATTAAAGCTCACAAGTAGAGTACAGTGAAGATACTTGTAGCGGTTAATTATCGAATATAGATGTGATAACATAGTTTTAAAGACGTTTGCATGACTTTTATTTGCCATTGTTTTTTAAATTACGGAGAAACACGTGTTTAATTTATGATATTAAAAACGATGAAAATAATATTACTTTTAAAGAATCATGTAAGAAGCTAAATCACTGTCCAAAAATTATGTACCTCAGGGAAATATATGCAATATATTAGTTAGCAAACATGATGATTTATGATTAGGACAGTTTCATTTAAGCTGCAGACTGTTGAGCCAATCCTGGCAATATGTGTCAATACAGTGTACATATAGTTCTTGGTAGTTGTTGTTTAAATCTTCTATTCAATCATTTCTCATCCGCATTCTGAACACATGCCGTAGATAATTCCTTTCCTGAAATATGATAAAAAGGATGTCAAAGAGTTGCTACGAAACTATCTTCATTATTTCAAAGAAATGTTAAATGTAGATCATCATTTGTGTTCAAAGACATTTTATCGAAATGAGGGCTTCTCTTGTCGTAGATTTAATCGTTGTACAACATATTACCGAAATTTTCTCATTCTATTTTCACCTTATTCTTTTGCCAGATGTGCTTCACTGTATAAATAAAACAATGCTATACAATGTTATTGTGGTTTTATATTTGTATTTTTGTTTTATCAACGTACTTATTTAAGCAGCAATATTAATTCAAGTTGAAGTTTCCTAGTATTGTTTATCAATATCTTTACATCTTACCTAAGGTATGCAAAGAAAAATGAATTAAAGAAAATAACACAGCAAATAATTAAAAAAATCAGAAAAATAAAAAACAAGTTTCAAAACACGCTAATATTCAATATCTAATATCTCTAGTATGTGTTTCCAGAAACATCTTGGTGTTGTTTGCAATAACGGCAGCTTTAACAAATAAATTAATTTGGTGTTCAACAGTTTACTTTTAATTTCTCGTTAGTTTCTCGTCTTGTGTGTGACCAGATGTGCTCCATGCTTTAGAAAAACTATCAGCAAGATATGAAACAATCTTTAAGAAGTCATTCGGTCGTATTTAATACAGCTTCTTCTCCCTATTTATGTCATTAACTTTTCTTAAAAGGATGAAATTTGGGGTCATTTCGGAGGAAATGAAACGTACAAAACTCCTTCTTTAAATTTAAGATTTCTTAGAAATTGCAAATGGCTGACAGAGGGGATCCTGTGTATAATAATCGTAGCTTTAAAGCTGTAACTGGATTGTATTTTTGTGGAGATGTTGGAAGGACAGCCAGGTGAGCGAACATAAAGAGGATGTACAATATCTCTCCATGACACTTACTCACCAACCCATGGACAGGAACACATTAGAGCGACACGTGTTCAATAATCTATGATAGGTGTCACTCAAAGAAAATTGACTGTAAAATTAACTAGCTTGACAAAATGCAACATAATTCGTGTCTTCAGTTAAGTAGGTCGCTTTCATTGCTAAGGACGTGCACTACAATATGAAAACGTGTTTGCAAAGGAAATACGAAGACTTCGTTCGAGCAATTCACATAGCTACTTGCCACATGTGTATGGCTGGTTGAAAAAGAGATAATCTTACGTTTTGCAATTTTGCAACTATATTTTAAAAATTTAGTTTTGAAAAATAAAAAATTATGTCTATGACGCATTGTTTTTACAAAAAGCAATTAAAGCCTTCCCTTTATGATGGAAAGCCATAGACAATATCTGAAAACAATTAAGTCGCTTTCATGAGGTATTCTTAAGAACAAAAAAACATTTTGCAATTAATGGATTCACTCCTTTCACTGCCAAATGTAACTGCATACACCATCTTTACCACAGATTATTAATTTAACCACGTTTCCATGAACTTTACCATGGATACATTAGCTGAACCACTACACAATTAACTTTACCATGATCCATTACTTTACCATGGATCCATTTATCTACCACGGATCCATTAACTTTACCATGAATCTATTACTCTACCACGGATCCATCAACTTTACCATGGATCTTTAACACAGTTCCATTAACTGTAACATCATCATATTAACAGTATATATATATCAAATATGCAAAATATTGAACAAATGGAACGACTAGGTATGGAAATAGTATAAAAAAGGCGAATAACATTCTGTTATAACGCTAGAATAATGAAGCATAAAAACTAACCAACATCATTTCTTTATCATGGTAGAAAAGAAACAGTCCAACCCAACACAAGTGCGTGGTAGGAAACATGGCATATAACACACTATATAGATTGTCCTTGTGACGATGAGAGGTACTCTGAATTGCAATTAAGAGGCTTTAGCACATATATCATTGCACAGCGACAGTTTTGACGATATGAATTTAATGACATACGTAGCCCATACTTAGGTGTTCAGTAAACTCACACATCTTGAACTCTACAATACAAAACAGTTTAGTACAAATAGAACATTCTTTTCATGACAGGGAGATATGGCATTTCAACAGAAGTAGAACATTGCATTTTGTTATATATTTTAGAAGAGAACACATGGTTTGTGTTGTACGTAAACAGAATATATGTTTGCTTTGCAATGTCATTAAAATAACATTACGGTTACACATATCGTAACAGTTAAAGACTCTTAGCATGCAATGGACAAAAACGAGAAAGGCTTTTGAAAACGGATTAAACTATATACAAATATACATCATTATTTCATTCAGTGTTGCCTGTAGTGAAACCATAGTTTATGCACACGCTATTTATCATAGAAGTACATTTGACAGTCCACCATTTAGAATGAAGAGCATAAGTGTCAACTTTACCGATGGGATCATTTTTTCTCTCTCTCTCTGCTGAACATTTGGGCACACCAACAAAAGTACTGGAAGCCTTAATTTGTAAAACGATACCCGAACTGTATCTTAAATGGCAAATTATCTTGAAATGACTCAATAATAACACTTAATATCAAATATCCAGAAAACTGTTGTCTGTAAAGTGGGAAGCCGTGGGCTAAATCGTACTGTAATGGGTTGGTAATCGAAATAGTGGCTACCCTGTGAAACCTGGGAAATTCAAACACAGATAGGATGTCACGTTGCCATAGCAACGGGGGTCATTTCTGGTTGGCAGGGTTACACAAAGAATGGTTGGGGATCCGACAACAACTTTATCAAATTATGGCACCGTGGCCAACACAAGACGCTGACCTGGTCTGTGTTATCTTTCAATCTATTTCAACTTCCGATGGAGACATACGACATTGTACAGGTTCACAGGTATGACACACAGCCTAAAAATAGAAGAATAGAAGAAACTCATAGTCCAAAGGAAACGATTTGAGATTTCATTTTGTATTGGCTGTGAAAATAATGTAACCGATGTAAAAATGATTTACTTAGCTTTTATTTTTTTGTGTTTTTTTTTGTGTGGGTATTTGTGTTATGACATCATTATTGAACTCGTATTTACTGCGATGATTGTAAATAACATCATTATTGGGCTTCCATAATCAAACTTTTAATTAATTTAGGGTGTACCGATACAACACTATAAAGCATATATAATTTATAACTTTAAAAACATAGCCTCCTTAATGTTATTTCAAGAGATGTTTTTATCTGTATAAGGTATTAAGTTTAATGTAAAAACTATCAAAAAACGAGTAATATTTATTCACGTAGTTTGGAAGCGGTGTTACATGTGTTAGTAAAACTAGGTCAGCGAGGGTTCTTGAGCAACACACATCAAACGTAGCGCTTCGTTACGCACGAGACGGATGCCGATTTGTCCTGTCCTATTTGGCTGTCCTCGTGTCCTCCTGTCGTGACGTAATTGTGAATTAAACGTTTAATTAAGGGATACGGTACATACCAGACACGGGAGCGATTGCGTCCGGAGGTTTAGGACATCCATCTATATAACGTTATTGACGCACACAGGTCAATCGTTTGTGTTCTAGACGTTAACAATTACACAAATCTTGGGTGGCCTTAGCGAACTCATGTGACACTGTCTAAAACACAATGAGTTTGAACAGAAAACATATTAGTATAAGGTGTCCACATAAGTTACATAAACACCTTCATATTCTTATTGATATTTTTTTAACTGTTTTATTTGCAGATATTTGATAAAATGGTGATGTTATGGTCTCATAAACACTAACAAACAAAAGCATGAGAATCAACTTTATCATATGCAGCAGATTTTGCATTGCCGATAATAGACCCACCTCATCGGTTCCAATGTCTGTTTTATATATTGACAAGTCTTCAATATAATTTCTCAACTTGGGGCATGAATGGTCATTTTCGGCAATATAAAACGTATAATTTTGAACGTGAGTATTTTTTTTACCACTTTCTGTTATAAACATCATACTGGTTAATTGATGCTATCTTTCTTGGTGCAGAGTTGTTCAATGCGCATGCGGAAATGTCCTATCATAGCACCACAATTACATTGCTAATCAGAAAAAGCCAAAATTTGGTGTTTTGTAACCAACAAGAATCCCTTTCTACCAATGAACACTGGTATATAAATGCTAATGCATGTCAAATATCTATTTGTTTGGTGCATGCAGATGCTTATAAAATTGATCAGGTTTTAATTAATTTGCTTCAAAATAGCCAATTTTCAATGTAAATAGCACACAACAAACAATATTCACGTATTTTACCTAGAAAAATGTGGGTAAATACCTCTCTTTGTTATGCCACATGTCCTATACCAGTTGTCGGATGAATTTCAAATTTCATATTTGCTTACTATATTTATTTCAGATAATATATTCCGCTTTTTCGTATTGCAGATTTATCTGCACTTGTGAGCAGGTATTGATTGTTACGTCATTTGTTTGTGAGAGCAACGTCATCAATGTTTGAGAAAATGACGTAATTTTCTCAAACAAACCAATGACGTAACAATCGATACCTGCCCACAAGAGAGGATAACTCTGCATACGCAAAGACGGAATAAAACCGCTAATTCCAAATCCCTTATGAGGCAAGAAATGACCCCGACGCCCCTTGTCCTTTTCCTTCTCAGACAAGTTTGAATTAGTGTTATTGCTCAAACATAGACCTTTCACATTATCATATATAGGACATTTGAACAAAAAGAGATGCATTTCATTTCCGATAAATTTGCATATTTGACAGTCTGGGTTCCCTTAACACTTTATTAAGGCGACCATGGGTATATTGTAAAGAATATATTCACCAAGTCGAAAACTTTGTTAAAAGTCTTCCTAAATTAAAGTCACTGGTGTATGCTAGTTATGGTTGCATAATACGTAGACACATTTGTACCTGTGATAATCGTGTACATGTTTGATAAATTTTATGTTTTAACTTATACTAAAAGATATTGACACTCAAAGTTGTTCAAATGAATTTTCAACAGAAATTGATCCTTAAACACGAAACCTTAGTTAGATCTGAACTTTTCACAACATGTTTGTTTTTCATGATATTGCAAACGTTATTTGAAAATATCTTTTGACGACCTGCTATAGTTAACATTATTCGTTGAGTCGATACGACGGTCCGGTGAACAGGATATGTTGTATGTCTGGAAGGCAATAGAGGAGTTGAAATGATGTACATAATCTGGCTATTGAATGGACACCAGCAATAAA